TTTGTTGACAGATTCAAGAATTAGTTGAAGCCATTGTTTTGCCAATGACCCACAAGGAAAGGTTTCAGAAGTTAGGAATTCGTCCGCCAAAGGGAGTGCTCTTATATGGGCCTCCAGGGACAGGGAAAACATTGATGGCTCGTGCTTGTGCAGCACAAACAAATGCCACTTTTCTGAAATTGGCAGGCCCCCAACTGGTCCAGGTGTATAATTCGTAACCAATTTCTGTCCTATTTTTTCAATTTTGAGTATTAGCATGGCTAATGATTTTATTGTGGTTTGTTTGTCTAGTTTTTTGTTTTTATTTTCTTTCTTGTAAGTTTAAGTAGAGTTGATGTCTTGACTTTTGCCAATCTTTAATAATGCACCGGGAACCAGGTTATACATTATTCTCCTTTGTTTTCCTGCTTGCTAACATGCTGGTGATGTCTCGTATATGCATTTTGGTGTTGGAGAGGTGATGATTGTATGAAGATTATTTTCTTAACTTTCCACATTCCTTATAAAAACACGCTTCAGCAATTTGTAACTGATAATTTTCTATCTCCTGCCCATATTTGTTGTCTGTCTTGAGTTTATTTATGAACTCTGTATTAATGTAATTTGTACTGGGTTTGAAGTGCTCTTACCTGGAATTGTTGTACAGATGTTCATAGGAGATGGAGCAAAGCTTGTCCGTGATGCTTTTCAGCTGGCAAAAGAGAAGTCTCCCTGCATTATATTTATAGATGAAATAGATGCAATTGGGACAAAGCGTTTTGACAGGTATGGTGAATACTTATGAGCAGGCAAGATTTTACATCTACTTACATGTTCTGTTAGTGTCATTTGTGATCGGATCCCTTCAATACTGGAGTAATCTAGGTCTGGGCTATTCAGCATTCTTATGACATGACTTGTTGCTGATGTTTGCCTGCAGTGAAGTAAGTGGAGATAGGGAGGTACAACGAACCATGCTAGAATTGCTCAATCAGCTTGATGGTTTTAGCAGTGATGAAAGGATTAAGGTTTGTTGTCATTTGTTTTTCTCCATGCACCTGTTATTTGCTTATTTATGTACTCAGAGAGAACTTCATAAAATTTGCTGTTGTTGGGTCTGCATATTAGACTTCCGAAAACCTATGTTCTTGGATTAGTCCCTCAGCCTAATTTTTACAACTAGCTGGTCTCTTCTTATATTTCTAGTTGGAATTCAGGAAATTGAATTGTTGGTTTAATGATTGTTGTGATTTGCAGGTGATAGCAGCAACAAACCGTGCAGATATTCTTGACCCTGCCCTTATGCGTTCTGGTAGGCTAGATCGTAAAATTGAGTTTCCACATCCAACTGAAGATGCGAGGGCTCGAATTCTGCAGGTTTGCTTTCTTATGGTTCTATCTGCTGTCGTTATTTCTAACTTAAGTTCTGAACAATCGATCACTGCTATCATATGGATATTTCAGATCCACTCCCGAAAGATGAATGTTCACCCAGATGTCAACTTTGAAGAACTAGCTCGGTCCACAGATGATTTCAATGGAGCACAATTGAAAGCTGTCTGTGTTGAGGCTGGCATGTTAGCCCTTCGACGTGATGCCACTGAGGTTGTTCTCTTTGCGATATGCAACTTATTGAATATTACGTTAAATACATGAGGCCATTCCTGCGGTGACAATTCTGTTTAGAACTGTTGTTTAACTTATTTTCTATATCTAAGGATTGGGTTGTTGATAAAGCACGATGGCGTCGTGTGATTCATGTAGCTGACCCCACCTAGTGGGATAAGGCTTGTTGTTCTTGTTGTTTAACTTATTTTCTATCCTGCCATTACTATAAGCACGAACATAATCAGTGAATTCTCCTTGAAGTCATGTAATATTTGCCAAATGTGTTTCACTCTTTTTTGGAGGAGCTTAACTGGAATGCTCATCAAACTAGAATCTGTTCTGTTGCGGGGATGATCATTAATCTATATTTTGTACAATTGCAGGTCAATCACGAGGACTTTAATGAAGGTATTATTCAAGTTCAGGCAAAGAAGAAAGCCAGCTTGAATTATTATGCTTAGGCTGGATTCTGGAAGAGAAGTTTCAGTTCGCACAAAGCATTACTTGTATCTTATAGGCTATAGCTCGCCATTACTATCCCTTTAGGCCGTCCATTTTTTTCGCTTCAGAAAAACCGAATGTGGTTGTGAATTAGATTTAGCGATAGATTTTGAGGCATTTCAACGGAACGTGGGCTAAAATAATTAATTATGGATACTCTGCGCTGTAATTTACTTTATTTCCAAATAGTTAATGATGGATATTAATGGCTGCATCGTTGGCAGGACCCGGCAATCTGTTTAGAAGAAATGCGGGCCTGACTAACGCTGATCGGACGAGGTGAAGATGAAATATAAAGATTATAAAGTTTTCTTCAAGATAATGTTTATTAGGGCTAATATAACTTTTGTTTTTAAAATTTTATTCTTATTTTGATTTTCGTTGATCAATTTTTTTTAATTAAAATATTAGTTCTCATATTTTATTAGAAATTTAGACCATTTTGTTTCTAAAGAGATCAAACCTAAGAGTAAATTGGAAAGAATAAAGATTATATTAACTACTATAATTGCTTGATAATTTGTTTTTTAATTTTTATTGAAAGAGTTTCTTCATATCTCTATTATTGTTATATTTGGCCGGGAAAAAAGAACATCTCTATTATTATTATTATTGTTATAGCCTCGAGCCCTCGACTGCATACGCGGTGGTGGGTGACGGAGTTGAGATAATATTATCGCGCGGAATTCTGATTTAAGGATGGTAGTTTGAAGGCAGTAAAAAGTATTTGTAAAGTGCAAACTGTCAAATTGTTAGATAATATGTAATTAATCTGTTCATAAGATACTGTGCCACACTCAGGATCCTAAATAGGAACAAAAAATTGACCCCTCAGAGAAGAACCTGAACTGGGAGAGGTGGACCAGGATATCTACGTAACTTGCTGTTTGAAAGCCTGTAGGCACGAGTTTGGCACTTGACTTGAATCCATAGGCAAGGTAGATGGACGTTGCATGTTGGATTCCTTCATTCAGATGGATGCTGCCATCATCGGGCACGACCTCGACCTCAAAACTTCCATATTGGAACTCAACCATTACCATTTATATGAAAAAATAAATAAATTATCAGTTACCAGAACAATAAAATAAAATCAGAGAACATGGAAGACATATAAATACAGTTGGAGGCCGCTGAGGTTGCTCCGTCTCCCACAATGTGCATCCTGAACAACTCTGAATTTTAATTTTTTCTCTGCCTCTAATTTGGGTGCCACCTGCTGCCGTCTTGAAAATGACGCAGAAGAATATTCAATTTACACTGTATATAACCCCGAGAAGCAAAGAAAATCTTCCTTGCCTGAAGCCTGAAAGCATCAAACAGTATCGACTACTTCGACACCTTCATCCATCAACGACTCCGTTCTGTTCCCCAATGTGTGTATTTGCCGCCCCCTGAACGGCCGGCCGTCACAAGCAACATTAAAACAAGTTCAAGATCATGACATAACACAGCACCAATTAAAATTAGAATATGTAGTGTTGTTTGCGGTTGCGTTGGAATATACTTAAGGTGCGAGACTGATTCTCTTTAATTAAAATGATGATCGTGGATGGAGCTTGGGAGGAAGCCAAGTGGGATGATGGGAATAAGAATAAAGGTGTTTCTCTGCCCACGTTCACTTTAACCTCTCCTCAAGCTCGGTATATTGCAGTTTTGTATTTAGCCTCCTTCGATTCCAAGTCCTCCATGCAGCCTCATTAGTTGGCCCGCTCTTTTATTATGATTGTTATTTTAATAATGTAGCGAATGGCGCAGCGAATAAATGCAGTGACACACAATGCGAAATGAACGAGGCATTAAAATTGCTGAGAAGATTGCGAACTATGCAATCCAGCCCGTCATATTCAACGCCCCTTATATTTGTGTAGGGATATTTCATGTGAGGGTTAAGTGCGAACATATAAAATGTTAGGAATGGGAGGGTGGGAATATAGAATTTCTAAGGATGTGAAAGCCAAGAAATTTGGGAGTTGGTCAGAAAAGGTCACCAAGAAAAACAAGGAACAGTGGAAGACAACGCACATGCCCCTGTAAGCCAGGTTCATGCATGCATGCTTGCTTGCGTGCCCTAGGCAAAGTATTCCTTCCGCAAGAGCCAATGAATGGAAAAATAATGACTGGGTCGAATTTTCTTTTTCAACCATTTTATTTTTTTATTTTTTTGGTTCAAGACGGTTTGATTATTTTTGGACTGAATCCTCTTTCTTAAATGAGCCCTGACCGTCAATGACGCTGTCAACAAAATTCTAGGAATTAAAAAAAAAATACTAATTCCAGTTTTTGATATTTGATATAAGAGTTCGTTTGACTTTTATTTTGATTCTAATTATAAGACCTCAATACATTTTGATACTGTTTGGTACGAAGTATTGAAAATGAGAGATAGAGATTATGATAGAAATCGAAAAAATAGTATTTAAAATGAGAGATTACTTGTTACATACGATTAGACAAACTTATGTATATAGAATTGAGGAATATTATAGGGAGAAGTGATATTCTCAAATCCTACTTTCATGAGTTTGTCTAATCTCACAGAACAAATAATTACTTATGCTAAAAACTTTTTTAATGATTTTTTAATTACAATTTTAGTATCTATTCTTTCTTTTAATGTTTCATACCAAACGAAACCTTCATCTTTCACTTTTATCTACTTTTTCTTAAGATGGTTCTTATAATAATAATAGTTCTAATAAATCTATTTTATTAGCAAAAATATTTTTTAAAAAATAACACTTATTTATTATAAATAATTAATTTAATTAATTTTTTTAATTTATTAAGGAATTTAGAGGCAACCAAAATCTATGCGCAATTAATCTGAGCCGTCCATGTGTATTGCTTGGACAGCCGTGAGCCGTTATTGGTAGTCGCAGTGGTAGTCCAACCTTCAATCCAACTGTTTAGGCACAGATACAGAAGGGAAGAAGTGATGTTTTCAATCCAAAATTTTCAACCATCTTCTCATGTCACTGCTAAAAAGAGTTTAGATCTCACATGCACACGTCGATTTTCTCGCCTTCGTAGCTTTTTGTGTGGGAACGGTGCCTGTCGTGATTACCCGGACGCATTTATACGGTGTTATCACCATCTCCGGCATTAGGGTTTTGAAGCTTCGTCTTTGTAATGGGCCTTGGCAATGACAACGACGTGGTCGTTGACGACGGCGATGAAGGTGGTGCCGATACCGGCGGTGCAACCAAGTCATTTGGCTCCATTTCTTGCTCTATTTGTCTCGAGGTCGTTGCTGACAATGGGGATAGATCGTCGGCCAAGCTTCAATGCGGCCATCAATTTCATCTCGGTAAGTAAATTTGTGGCTAGAATAGTTAATTCCATTATTTCTCTGTTTTAAAATCTGTGCATTCGAGCTTGGGATGGAAAATATTACGGAATCAGAACCTGTGTCTTCCTATATTGTTTAGTAATGGCTACATCCGGTTTGAATGTAATGATCATTTCTGCGTGCTAAGGCAGCCTAACTAGATTTGCAGTGTTACAATTATGGTTTGATTTGACTTTCTTCGGACGAGGATTGTAAGCATGAGAAGGAATTAAAACCAGCTTGTTATAAACTTCTTCTGTGCTTATATGCTCATCAACATTCCTCCTTATTAGGTATTAAACTAAGAGCGAGATCCAGGCTGTAGAATCCCCATTGTATGTATGAAAGACGGAGGCAGAAGGAGAGAAAACCCTTGAATAAAATGTAATTAGCTAGTTCTAACCTATGTCAGTCTTTGTATTCATGGGACGAAGCTGCGATGCAAAACATTGAAGACTCAAAATTACAGAATAATATCCTATTAAATACACAACCTGATAACCACAATCATAGGTTGTAATTTACCAAACATGGATAAAACACATGTTAAATACCACAAACCCACTATCAAGTCAGCATATCTACATCCGGATAGTTTTTACTCAATGGGGTGCTTTTTGTGATTTTGAGCAAGCCAAGAATGGGGAGGTATAATCAAGAAGTTTTTGTGGAATATGAATATATGTCTTCTGAGAACAATGAAATGTATAATTACAAGTTTGATTTGTTATATATGTCAGATGCTTTGCTAGCTTGTCTCTATAAAGTGAAGCAAGCTCCGTGGTGCAATTTTAGGCATCGAGATTGATTTTCGAGATGTACCGTCAGTAATTGATTCAAAAATTTTGATTGTGTGCGAGTGAAGTTTGGGACTAATCTGAACTTCGTTGGGTATGTGGTACTCAAATTGAGACATTTCAACTACCTTGCTGAAAATTTAGCAGGATATTGGGAAAATATTTTCACTTGCCCTATCTCTAGCTGTAAATACTTGCTGCTGCCAATGTAAATTGATAAGAATGAGGAAAGAGTATATTGTAATTTAATATGTTATTTGTGAAGGATTAATTTGGAGCTCAAGAAAGTCACCAAAGGAAAGTAGATATATTGATAAATTATTCTTGTTGAATTAGGTGAGATTTTGGAGTGCTCAGAACAAATTTGGAAATATTGCAGGCCCATAGTGGTGCTTTACTTAATGATGCTTAATAATGTTGTGAAGGCAATATTACGTTCATGTTTTTCTATAATGAACTTTTGACAAACCATATGCATTGTCTTATTCTTATGTTGATGATTACTTTGTTTAAATAATTCAGATTGCATTGGTTCAGCATTTAACGTAAAAGGGGCTATGCAATGTCCTAATTGTCGGAAGATTGAGAAAGGTCAGTGGCTATATGCTAATGGTTGTCGGTCATATCCAGAATTTAGCATGGATGATTGGGCGCATGATGAGGACCTTTATGATCTTAGCTACTCTGAAATGGTATTGGTTCAGTTTGTGTTGTAATTTATGCTTACAAGAGATAAGTTCTGGCCATATAATCATTTTTGTCATTTTGTTCTTTTATTGTGCCAGAAGCATGCTTCAGCTTTGTAATCGGATTATCGTGACTTAGGCCATGTGGTCTTTTGGGCTATGTTTTTCTTTTTGAGTAAATTCCTCTCCTGCCATGAGAGATGAGCAATGTCCAAACTTGAGTCCTCCCACTTACTTTGATGATACACGCTTGCGCTGTGAAACCAAGATATGACCATTTTATTCAAGCAAATCTTTGTTTTTTTTTTTTGGGTGCCCAAATAATTTACGATCTATTAGAAGTAAAACTGTAAATGCATTTTTTTTCCTGTCAATCTGCAATTACTGTTAACCCTGTTTTGGCAGTGACCCTGCTTAGGTGAAATTCATACAATTTAAAGTGAACCATAGTCCTTGCTGTTTCATTCTTTATCTGCCTTGCTACTTATGCAAGAGCATTTTGGTGAAATTGGCTTTTTTATGCATGGGTAGTTTGAGAGGGTGTTAATTGTGTGAATCGCTACCTCTAATTTGAGTGCTCTCTTTCTTTTCTATCTGTTTCTACGTGACATTATACTTGATATTTTGATATCGGACTATCAGTTTGATTTCTAAATGATTTTTGCAGTCTTTTGGAGTACACTGGTGCCCATTTGGTAGCTTGGCACCACCTCCTTCATCTTTCGAGTAAGCCTTATGAAATCAGCAAATTATGCATGCATGAATCCTTTCTTTTTAACATCTATTTAAGCTTGTAGCCTTCAGCTCTATTGATAGTGGTATTTATATATTCACTCTAATAACTGTTAGGCTTCCTGTTTGAGTCAATGGGTATTCTTTAGTTTTGGTGGGAAGATCTTACATATGGATTTTTGGGAAATGAAATACAGATTAAAGGATATTTTCATTAGAGAAACACACTCAGAATTTGAAAAACTTCTATATGGTAGAATCTGAAAGCAGTTATGGAGCCCAAAACCGCCTTCAGCTCTGTTGATTGTGGTTTTTGGCTGTGTTAATGTTACATTCTAGCTCTGCAACATTTAAAATTTGGGAGTTACTTTGAAAGGCTGGTTGACCCTTTGTTTTTTATGGTTTCATCCTTATCCAATGTCTGTTTTCAGTTATACACTTTGAATGCTCCAAAAGTAGAAAGGTTTCCAATTTATTTATTTACTTTTCCTGCTTTTTTCAGGGAAGGAGACCTTTCGTCTACTGCATGTAAGATCCTTTTCATGGCCACAACGATTTCCATTTGGACGTAGTTTAATCAGTTGTAGTTTTAAAGTTGCATTTGACTGAATATGTTCATCTTTACTGGAATGATGGGATGCAGATCATGATGTACTGGGACAACATGCTATGTTTGCCGAACATACAGCGGTATCATCTGCTAGCCATCCATGCCCATATATTGCTTACTTTGGACCTGTGCATCCCTCCTCATCAAACTCTGGCGGAACTGTTTCAGAAGCGTCTAACTACAATCATTGGAATGGCTCATCTTTACCTAGTGAGATGCCAACCTCCTATACATTTCCTGCTATGGATCTTCATTATCATAGTTGGGAACACCATTCCTCTACTTTTCCTCCGGCCAGCAGCCGTGTAGGCACTTTTGATCAACCCTCATTATCAACTATTAATCAAAGGCCAGGCAGGGGTGGTTCAGACGTACCAAGATCAAGGTCTTTTATGCATCCCTTCCTTGTCGGCCACAGGTAGACACATCTTCAATCAAGATTGTCAGTATTCGTTTAAATAAAAACACTGCATTTGCCATACCGATTATACTAACCAACCGAATGTAACTTCACGTGAGCCAGTTTGTATTGCATATTCAGTCTTGCAACTACATGTGGACAATCAATTTAGGTTATAAAAGAGGAAATATGTTTTTCTTTTTCTTGCTTGGGAAAATTTAGTCAGGTCAAATATTGACATTGCATTCGTCTATTATGCAGCTCTGCTGCTAGAGCTGGTAGCTCTCTCGCTTCATCAACAATCCCTCCTTATCCTGGAAGCAACGCTAGGGCCCGTGATAGAGTTCAGGCTCTCCAGGCCTATTATCAACAGCATCAGCCAACTGACTTACCCGCCATGCGGGTACCTATTGTTTCTGGAACCCGAAGATCAAACGGTCATAATAGAGGACCAGCCCAATTAGGACAAGTGACCACGTCATCGGACCAAATTGGCTTCTTTTTCATCCCATCTGGTTCATCAGGACGCAATTTTCAGGAAGAAAACCATATAGCTAGCCCCTTCCATGCTCGGGAAAGAGATCACTTGCCCTCGTCATCAATGAACCATACTGATTGGGATTCTGGTTGGGGAGCACAGCACGATGCTGCCAGCGGCTCAGACACTGGTAACAGGTCCAGCGGTTTTCGATTAAGGAATGGATCGGAGAGATTGCCTTCACATAATCGGTGATGCACTTTTAAGGTCCTTGTTCCTATGAAGTAGACTGCCACTATGGAAAACGTGAAAAACTTGTGTATGATTGAGGAATGTTCATAATGATTTGGCCTTCGGGTCTGCTGGCCCTGGAATTTTCTGGTAGACACACGGCAGCGTGATGGACATTGGCTTCCCCTGGCTCCCTTGCCGAAGGGTTTAAAATAAGATTAGGATGGTTTCTCGTGGGCAGAAAAATCGAGCTGGGGCGTTGTCTCGAGTGACGGTAATCTAGAGCAGCTTGCGGTTGAATATTTATGTTTGATAACGATGCTCCTGCAAACACTTTGTATTGATGATGCAACTAAAACAATTTTTTCACGGCTATTCCTTGACAAGTGCTTGTAGACATGCATGCTAAACTTATCCACGATTTGTGTGCTCGTGAGGTTTGCTAAACTTATCTACGATAAGTGTGCTCGCAAGGTCACAACATCTTTCTTATAGTTCTAATTAGAGGCCGATAGAGCCAAAATCATAACTAGTTAATGGATGTATTAAATCATCTGTTACTGTTGTTTTGAAGTATTTTGCATTAAAAAGAAAAAGCAAAGGTGTAAATTTCACTTGACAGCACTAGATATCCAAGAATTATTTTGAATTTAATATTGCTCTAAAAGTCTAAAATCATAACATTATTCCTACCGTTAAAAACGTTGGCAATCAACAACTTTTTAATGGTGAGAAACATTATTGCCAAGATTTTAAATTTTCAAAACGACATCGATCTCCCACGAACTGATGAGTACTGCTTACGAGAACTTTCAAAAGCGTAACATTAAAAATAAATTTATGCCTCGACTTAAAAAAAAAAAAAATTCCTCGATAGATCACAATAAAGATGCATCAAAACTGTTTTCAAAATTAAATATCACATGGCAAGCTCAACGCCAGTTTGATATACAACCAAAACTGTGAACTCATGCGCTAAATTAATCTCGACAAATGATTTCGATGTTCCCTACAACACAATCACCGGCAGCAACGCAGCCAAGTCATCAGCCTTGTATATCATCACATTGCACACCTTTACCCAGATCTTCACAGTCTGCATTGAATCCCATACACAAATAATACGAAAATCCAGAGCGTAGATACTAAGCATCGCAGCACAAAAACTAGACCAATCATGGCATCAGAAACGGAGCCTATCGAGTGTCCTCTGATGTTTCTATTTCACTAATCAATATTGTGCGTTACAACCAATGGATTCTACAAAAGAATCTCAGGTATAGTGTTCCCGCCTATCAATTAACGGAAGCATTACAGTGAGTATGCTCATTAATGTATCAACGATCTCCAGATTCAACAGATCTGCTACGCTCAGATCTCACCTGTCAAATACATGAATGACGTTAGGAGACCCCAACACAAAGGTAGAAATTAGGAATGCCAATCAACTAAGACTCTTTTAGTCGCTTTAGGGCAATAAACATACTGAAGGTGAACGAGATTTTGATGAGCTTCTAGGACTTCTGCTCAAAGTGCGACTCCTGTGACGCGGAGACTGCACAGTACAACAGGACGATGTATAAACTTGTTGCAGAATGAGTTCGTGTTAAATATATCTTACACAGTTACGCCTATTATGGTGTTTCTTTCTTTCTTTCTTTCTTTTTTGAATGCACCCATTATGGTGTTTCTCACTCTTCCCTTTTTCCTCCCACGTTATTGCTTGGCAGAAGGAATACAATTAATGCAAATGTCAATCAAATATACAGTCACAAACGTTCACCCCACTCTTTTAAGATCAACAACATATTGTATTGTAAGCCAAAAAAGGAACACTTACAGATGAATTTGGAGATCTGGATCTTGACAGAGATCTGCAAAATTTTGAACAAACAAATCCGCTTAATATCCAGAATAACCCACCAAAATGTTTATTCCTCAAGCCCACTACCAGTTTCACATCAGAATCCATGACCAAGGGAAAGAAATTGATCTAGCACGGGTCTTACGCAGCAGCCAAGGGAAAAAGTATTTGAGCACAGTATCTCTTATTTATAGTCTCAACAATTGCTACACAATTCATTCCCAGCAGCGCATGATTCCTCAGTAAGGAGCAGGTATATAAACAAAGCCAGCACAATAAGAGAAATCCTAGAGAAAGGACAAGATCAATCCAAGAACTTAGAGCGCAGGTTGCATTGAAGCAGTTTTTGGATTGAAAGAATGCTGATTTGCTATGGATGGTACCACTAGCACTTAGTTCACAGGGATCCACCTTTTAGATTGCAATTCATCCATCTACAGTCATCCAGTCTACAACAGTGGCACACCGTGCCTAACATCAATACACCATTACTGTTATCAATTGTCACAGCATCAGGGTGTTCCAGAGGTGCTCATCAATAGAACTATATTACCTCGACCAAAAAGTTGCAGGCATTTGAGCACCACATGCCATCAAGATCCTAACATGCAGTCCCCAGGTCGCTGTAAAATTCCACATCTAGAAAACAAACAAGTCAACCCTATTGAACATTGTATAGCTTGCGCTCAACCTGTGACCCCCTACAATCCCCCGATCACCTTTGCACATATGAAGAATTGTGCAAACATGCCCATGGGACAACACTACGTTTTATGAGATAGAAAGGATGGATGGAATTACAGTATCGACTTTCAGACAATTACAGGGAAATGAAATATTCCCTCAACTTCGACTTAAAGAAAGAAGGGGAGACCCCACACATGCTATATTAATAACGACAATAGTATAAGTAAAACCCTTGATCGTATGAATAAAGCCATAAAAGACCTTTGTACGAATCTCCTTAATGGGGTGGGGACACATAATAGCAAAGTTCCAATCACAGCACTTCAGACTGTTAATCTTCTATCAAAAAGATTGACACAGTACAACATCAAATAGCCAAACAATGATTAGAGCGACCAAACATTCCTAGCCGGCACAAAAATGTTCATGTAAGTCCGTCCACTTACAAGAGCAGCAACATGGCTCAGCTATGCGCCCCAAAAAAATTAAATAAAATAAAATAGATCAAAGGAGGTAAATACGTTAAAAAAGATTAGGGAGAGTACTTCACGATTCTGCCTGCCATGCTGCATCCCATCTTTGATTAAGAAACTTCAGCCTAGGAGTAAGGGCTGAACTAGTAAATCAGGGAAAGGAATAACTAAACCTTGTCGGCAGGTTAAAATTTATAAACATAGTTTGATGAGCCTATACTTATAGTTATCAATTAGGAGTACCACACTTCTTTACCTTCTGAAAGAAAAGGGTCCAATTGAAATAGCAACTCATTACTTCAAATCAGCAAGCACAAAACTGCATATTTATCCAAGTTAGTTCGAAACTGACCTTGATAATGATCGCCATGAACGTTTTGCCTTTGGAGACGAGCTGGAAAGCAAGAATATTAGGTCAAACTCCTGACTACCAAACACAGACTATTAATTCAAGCCTTCAATGAAATTAAAAGAACCTTCGACTCCTGTCACTGTAGCTAGGACTTCGACTTCGTTCCATGTAAGGACTGCGGCTGCGACTTCTGGAGTAGCTTCTCCTTGAATCACGGCTAGGACTCCTAGAATAACTCCGCCGATCATATTCCCTCACCTAAAATAACAAGATAGAGAAGCAAATGAAAATAAATATACAAATCTCACATATTTTGATATATAAAAGTCTCCCGAAGAGGGAAGAAGAGTAGAAGAGAAACGAGAATAGAGAGAGGGAGAGGGAGAGGGAGAGGCTCACTGCATTCTTCCAAAAATCTCATAAGCAGAGTCCTCTTGCACCTTATTTAAAGACCCTGGACCCTAAAGCCAATTAACTAACTAACCCCTTAACTAACTCCCTTTCATTTATTTATCATATAACATATTTTTACTTGAACATACAATCATTCTTCTCTTTTCCGTTGCCAACTGGAGGTCTACAACGTGCCAACATACTAACAAACCAATTAGAAAACATGCCAAAAAAAAAAAGCCATTACATACCCGTATGTATGCACGAGAGAAGGCATTGCGGAATTCTGAGTCATCAAGCTTCCTAATCTGTTAAAAACATGCAAATACCATTAAAGTTTACAGCATCAACAATAAAGATACCAGTCATAAACTCAGCTGCCGGGGCACATCCAGCTCAGATATGAAACCTTATGATTAAGATTAAAATTCAGACCACTTACAGCATACTTCATATCATCATAGTTTGTATAATCTACTATCCCAGTCATGCCTGCACAAGTTTCAACAGAGTCTAACAAATGTATTCTTAAAATTAAAAAAAAAAATCAACAAAAAAATCATCTCCAACATGATGTGGCAAAAGCTACAATCCACAGGAATGGTCACTATTTCAGCCTACTCCATGACCCAACTTTTGCAAGGTCAGGGCCAGCATGATTATGAATTATAGTATACAAAGTCATCTGCTTACATCAATCAGAACTGAAATCATAAGAAAATATGGGGCCTGTCGTTTAAAGAAAAAGATCACCTTTTCCCCCGAAATAACACTTTCAACAGCTTTGAGATATCCGCTCAAGCTTTTAACAAAATCAGAAATCTAAAAAGCTCATATCATATTTTTCAGGGTTGATAATTTTTTATCGTCCTTATAGTTTGATCCAATTTTGTTTTGGCGCCTATAGTTTCAAATCATTGATTTTAGTTCTTATAGTTTCATAAGGACTTGGTCTGAGTTTAAGCATGTGAATCAAAACCAAAACTCATTAAAAATATAAGAGCAATTCATTATACTCGGATTAAAAATTATTAACTACAAAGATCAAAACCAAGATTTGAAATTACAAGAACCAAAATCAAATTTGATCAAACTATAACTGACAATGGTATTCTCTATTTTTATTTATTTTGACAAGCTACTTTGAGCAGCTTCTAAATTATTTTGAAAAACATTGGTGAAGTGAAAAAAGTGCTTATTATAATGATAACCAAATGTAAAATAAACCAAAAACCTGCTGAGAAAGCTCTCCTTAGGTAAAGCCGGACTGGGACGACACATTTGTAAATTTAGCAGAAATAGATTTTCAGGAACAGAACATTCTCGTTCTTACTAAAGTTGAACAATCATATTACAACTAAAGCCGCATGTGAAATACAGTATATTTTATTAACTTACCACCACGTTCACGGAAGACTTGAGAGAAACACACATCACCAGCCCTACGCATGTGATCCTGAATCATTGAACACTCACAATCAGTAAACATTATACATCCATGCCAAAGGCATAAGTCATACGTCATATAGAACATATGAGAACTGACAATCAATCATGAGAACAAGAACCAAGCAGACCTTCAAGTCTTGCCAAGAAGCCGATGGAGGCAACCCAGTGACCATAACTTCAATAAGAAATGATCATCAGAAACGTTTTTCTTCTATGATACAAAACCAAGAATGCTAGATCAGGTAACAAGTACCGCGATAGTCAGAGCGCCTGGAAACTCCATTGCTACACCACCTCTAGAACTATAAGTACTGTAGCGATCAGCTGATGATGAAGACCTCCGCCCACCATGCGCGAGCTCAACCTACAATGACAGACACCAAAGGGTTGC